AAAATTTTACTTATATTCAGAATACGCTAGTGTTGAATTTGACAATAGCCTTAACATTGTTTTAAGATTAAGCTATTCTTATTTAAAAAACTACAATTTATTTCCAAATATTTCTTATACTTATTTCAAATATAACCCCCGATTGTTCTAATAACTACTAATACTAATCTGAAGTATTTTTTAATTTTGTTTTAAAAATATTGTAGCTTCAATATAAAGAATACTTTTATTGAAAATAGTTTACATTTAATTTGATTTAAATTTAGGGTTTTTCTTGCTTTAAGTAGGTAAAATTTGTTTTAAATAAATTCATTTTTGCTTCAAATATAATAAATGATTGAAGCTAATTGCACTAATGTCGTTTTAATCAGTATTTAAACTTGATATGTGAAATAAGATAGGTATTTACAAAAAAACAAAACATCTAGAAATAGATACATATATTTATTTTTAGTAAAAATAACAAATTAAAAAAATAAAACGGTTAGATATTACGCTACCTACCTTGGAATGACAAGGTTCTAAGTGCAGGTGCCCTGTTAAGCGAAAACGCCTTATCTACAATATTTAGTTTTGTATTATACAATTTGTATACAATAGATATCTATAGATAAAAATAATAATAATCTATAGATCATTTTAATTTAACAGTGACGCTGCACTTAGAACCTTGTCATTCCAAGGTTCTATGCTCCACACCTCAATGTCCCACTACGTGACTACGTACGGAACGCAGTCTTTGATCATCTGTCAAAAGCATAACATTGTCCAAGTCAATTTCATTTTCTAAAAATAAACATAGGTGTACCTTATTTTACAATAATTAAATTATCCTAAATAATATTTCCGAGAATTACCCCTTTTTTTATTCAATATTTGCGCCATATCTCAATAACGGTTCATTGTAGAGAAATTTACCTAAGACCAAATTTGTAGGAAATTAAATGACGAAAAACTTTTCTAAAAACCAATTTGTCAAAAAGTTGACCGTTTTCGAGATATTGGTGAAGGGGTGGTCGAACTTTGACTCTCCGTAACGGCCCACACAATCGCCGAATCGATGGGAAACTTTCACCAATTATTTATAGTCATAACAACAACGTGTATGCAAAAATTCACCATTGGGCGGGCACATTAAATTGGTCAATGTCCATTTTTTTTCGACCAATAGCGCTTCCCGCCCCTTGCGCTCTATCTCAAAAACGGTTCATTTTATGAAAAAAAGTTTCAGACAAAAGTGGTTAGGAATTTTATTATCTCCAACTTTTGTAATAGGTATTGACATCATTAAAGCCATAGGAACCGAGATAAACGTGAAAAACGTATTTTTATGACCTTTGACCTGCAATAACTAACGAAGCGACATACCTATAGGTAAAACTATAGTTTTACTGATTTTTGAGACAACGACAAAATAAAGGTGTATACGAGTTTTCAGCCTGGTACCGCTCACTGGGCAGGAAAATACCAACGTGACTGGACTAAATGTGGACCTGGTCCACTGGACCACTATACGCTAAAGAAGTATCGCTAGTATCGCCACCTCGTGGCCATCATCATCGTAACTTAACTTCAGTTTTATTAAGCAACTGTCAAAAGCATATATTTTAAATGAGTGTTTTTTAAAATGAGTGCGGAAAATATCGAGAAAATAAACGTCTATTGATTTGTTGCACAATAAAGTACCGATAACGGGTATAATATGAATTTTATATAATATTATGTTGCCATGAATTCGTAGATATATTATTGTTTAAATGCAGTTGTCGGCGTTATTTTTAGAGGACTCAAATATAAAAATGTTTAAGATTGAGGTTATGTTTTTATAGTTATTGTTTTGTGCGAGGTTTTGTGGTAATTTCTTAAAAACTTCCAAACTTAAATATAAATTATATTAGATAAAGCTATCATTAGTTGATTCTGCACAACCAAATAGGTATACGTACTGAATTTGATCCTTTGGCAAAACATAAAAATGCAACTTCGAATTAGTTCTTTAATTACCTTTACAATTAAAAACACAATAATTCACAATGATCACAATACACACAATAACGTAACTAAGCATATACAAATTAATAAATCGAAATCAAGTACTAAACCAAGTGATTTTTCAATTTTTACCTGCAAGTTGCAGGCTGCAACACAAAAAGACAATTAATGTACTCTCTTAACCTGTGCAATTCAAACTTGGCGAACAAAATATTTGAGTAAAACTTCTACTTTCCTCTTCTTTGTGAAAAAACTACTTATTTATTTAAAAATAATGTGCAATTTGTATTTTAATTTATTGTTGACAAACCTATTACTTCAATAATGTTGACACCAGATGGCGCACGCGTTGCGAAAACCCGATGCTTCTTTGGCGCAGTGCTGCCAACTTTAGGGGGTAAATGAGTGGGATGGGATTTTTTTAGGGGCTTTATATTTTTAGGGATTTTTTACTATTGATATTTATTTTTTTAAATAAAAGAAATATAAGTCTAAAAATATAGAACCTGGGATAACATAATTTTGTTAAACCTATTTCAAACGCAAGTGGCGAAGGCGCATTCTCCTTATATAATCTTGTCAAGAATGTGCGAAATACCCAATCTATTGAAATGTTACGAAGTATTATGGTCTACTCTGTGTATTATGGTAAGATTCACATTGCAACGAAATGGCGTATCTTGCAAAAAATGTTAGGTGTATGTAATGTAAACATGTACAATTTAAAAAATCAGAATCAGAAGACGAAATTATATTTGATGTAGGTAATAAACAATTTATGAATAAAGAATATTAAAGATTATTAATAATTAATTATTAAAGTACAGAATATTATTTAGTACTTTATTATTAATTATTTTTTATTATTATTTTTTAAATAATATTAATTGTTTAGGGAGATTTTCAAGTAATTGTGGCGATTTTAGGGGGTTTTGACTTAGCTTTAGGGATAAATATTTTAGAGAGTTGGCAGCACTGCTTTACCGTATACCAGCCTCAAACCAACAGAAATTTGATGTTAGAACAAACCTATTATATTAAATAACGGTTTGTTTTTACTCAAAATACCCAAATAGCTACCCATACAAATAGGGCTTAATAATTTTTTGAATTTTTCTCGGTATTTTTCCATGTTTATTCCCGTTGCCCGTATTATTATAATTAAGTATGAGAAATTAAACTTACCTTCAAATATTGGAATTAATGATTCGAAATTCCACTCCTTTAATAAAACATCCATGTCTTTAGCACACAAAACATAGAAAAAGGATCACAAAAGTCCCAAAAACACACTATTGTCTCTGCTATTGTTGTGGTCACGTACGCGTACCTAGCAAAATGGTTTCTTCTCCCTTCCCTTTATGTACTACGCAGTTACTGCGCCTGTCGCCTACTGCGTCGCAATACGTTTACACTTTATTTAAGAATAAGTATACTCTCTTCAAATATAATGTTATTTTGGCAAAGATGAATTACTCTTTGTTCAATAAAATGGTACTTGTCTCAAAGTAATAATAATTATACAAGTATAATTTAGTGTTATTGCAATAGTTAATATATTTAATTAAAGTATTTTTTAAGTTCTTAATTGAAGAATTATATGGATTTCAAAAGAGAAAACATTTTCACTTAATTTAAGAACAATCCTTTATTTAATAAAATATATTTTTTATTCTTTGTTTAAATAAAAAATACTTAAATTGAATATTGAAAGAGTTGGAAATTAACATTAAGCAAGTACTTGAATGAATAATAACGTATTGTTTTTCTAAGTAAATTATTAATGGATCAAATATAAAATTATAAGTATAGAACTATATTTGGATTTAGAAATGTATTTTTTTCCGTGTAGTGTGGACCTATATAGACCACTTTTGGTGTTGTTTTTTACCAGAAATTTTTTACTGTGTACTTAAATAGGATGTAAAAAAGTTCTGAAGTGCTTCCGAAAAACCAAATAACTCAAGCTTAGAAATAATAATAGGATGACATATCCGATCAAAGGCCTTTGAAAAATCTGTATATAATATATTATGGCATCTACCTGCCCACGATTATTCAGTACTTCAGAGGTAAATTGGGTAAAATAAGTCAAATTCGATACCGTTGAACGGTTTTCCATAAAACCATGTTGGTGAAAAGAAATAGAGTTTTTGACTGATGGGTAGATACTAAGGCTGGGAATCGATTACGAATAATTCGAATATTCGAATATTCGAGTATTCGAATAGGGGTGGAAGTCGATTATAAATTATTCGAATATTCGAATACTCGAATATTCAAACATTCGAATACTCGAATATTTGAATATTCGAATACTCGAATATTCGAATACTCGAATATTCGAATACTTGCATATTTGAATACTCGAATATTAAAACACTTTAAATTAGTATATATAAGGGTGGTGCAAAAAAACTTTTTTCGAATATGTTAATTTGTCATTTTTATTAAAAACAATTAACAGCTCTCATCAAAAATTAGATGGCTTTTGAATTTTGAAAATTCAAAAAATAATCAAATTCGAAAAAAGCGATATATGTAGTCGCTTCGTTTTGGACAGTAGCAAAAAGTAATCAGTAATTACTAATTTCAAGCATAGACAATGTGTGGGTTGCCATATGTATAAAAAAGTAAATAACTACTGCTGACGTAATCACCATCTAGACCCCCCACCCCCCATGTCATCAAAAATAAGCAAAGCAAAGACACCCCCGCCCCCCTACAGTGCTTACGTAATACTTGAACGGCCCCTAAGTCAACACTTATAATAAAAAATAAACAAAACAATCATAAAACTCTGAATAAAATTAGCGGTTTGTCGCACTGTCCGCAGATGGCGCTGATTTTACTAGATTTAGTAGGAATCCTACTGCGCAGTTGACAATATTATTGACATTTGACAACGGGTAATCGGTATAATACTTTATTATAAAGTAAGCGTATACGTGCAAGTTTTTACTGGCAACCATATTAGTTAATTGAGTTAACAAATACAACAACCTGAAATGGGTTCTCGCTCTAAAATTTGGAGTTATTTCAAGAAGAACGATGATCGTGTACAATGTAATATGTGTGATTATAATGTTTTATTTAATGGATCTACCACCAGTAATTTGTGGACTCATATTAGAAGCAAACATGTTTCAATTTTAAATAGCAGGTGGGTATTTTTACTAAAATTTTTTAGTTACAATCACAATATGTTTTGTTCTTTATTATTTCCACTTCTCCATTTAGTTTTATTTTTTAATCAATAATCTTTAATTTTAATTTTCAATTTTTAATTATTAATATTATTGTTATTTATTACACAGTAGTAAAAAGACACAAAAAATCGCCGATATACGTAAACTTAATTTTTGGGCGTAGAATCCAGTGGTGTAATCAGTTTTTTAAAGTTAGCTCGTTTTCTTAAGATATTTCATATTTAAGTTTTTGTAACTTTTTGGTTAATTATTTGTGTATATTTTGAGAAATACCAAAAAGACACAAAAAAAGCCACGACATGTAATTTTTGGGTGTAGAATTCCGTTTTTTTAAATTAGGTCGTTTTCTCAAAATATTTGAAATTTTGTGTTTAAATATTTTTTTATTTGTTATTTTGCTCTTAATATCTTTATTTATTTAATTTAATTATAATTAACATTTTTGGCCAATTCCAATTTTAAAATCTATTAAAATTTATTTATTTCTAAAAAATATAGGAACAAATTGAATAAAACAACAAATGTCTTTATTTATTTTTATATTTATTTTTATTTAAAAACAATAAACATTTTTTGTTAGTTTACGGTAGAAAGCTTTTAAATTAAGTTAATTAAGGAATATTTAAAAACAAACCTTACTTAAACATCAAATGTCTTTATTTATATTTATTTATCAATAATAAACTTTTTTGGTCAGTTCCTAGTATAAAATATTATAAAATTAATTTATATTTTAAAAAATAAAAAAACTACTTAAATAAAAAGTTGTAAAGAATGTTTAATTGTATGCCTCTTTAAAGATTGACCACCAAAAATCAGCAAGCATCGAGTTGAATTTTTTGCCAGAAAACCGATCTTTAAATGACATAATGGTTTGATGACATCGTTCACCAGCTTCATCGGATTCAGTTAAAAGTTGTTTGTCATAAAAACAAAATGAGCATGCAAAATTTGTAGCTACATATTTATACTTATACAAAAACTTTGTAGCAAAGAATTTTTTCAATTTGAATTGTAAACATTAAATGTATGTATATAAATTTTATACAGGCTGTAGGTACTTCTTAGTCTATTCAGTAAAGTAAAAATTTTATTATAAATAATAGCATAGTAGGTAAATAAAATTCTCAAATTTTATTAAATTCGACTATTTCCCTCGTCTTAATTTCCACCAATCACAAACGCGCAATTTTGAATTACAAATGGTTTCTAGGTGAAAAAACTGTGTGACAGCACCTGTCAGCAGTTTATTCGAGTTTACCCGCGGCAAAACTTGACAGCTGTTGTCACCAAAAATTGCAATTTATATTTTAATTGTTAACTGTTACTCATGAAATAGTCTTGTCAAATACCATTCGGGCATCTAATTTTTCCTGTGAAAAAAATCGAAAAAACACAATGCTAAGTAATATTTTTTAACAAAATGCATTCGTGCAGGTGCAAAAATCCTCCTCTTCGACTCGGATTTTTGTTGCCACCAGCACTCATGCTTTTTGTTAAAATATTACTTAGCAACGTGTTTTTTCGATTCTTTTCGGAAAAATTAAATGCCCTTATGATATTACTTACGAATATTTCCTACTAATACCAAAAAATAAAATTTACTAAAACAAAAAAAGAAATAGGCGAAAAATCTAATAAAATTAAAAAAATATGAATAATATCGGCTTAAACACGAAAGTTATTAATTTAAGAGACAAAAATTTATCAATTAAAAATAAATATAGACATTTACGGGTTATAGTATCTTTTTCTTTAAAAATATAGCAAAATGGTGAAACAAAAAACTTAAATATTTAATATCTTGAGAAAACGAGCTAACTTTAAAAAAACGGATTGCACCACTGAATTCTACTCACAAAAATTCGGTTTTATATGTCCTGGCGTTTTTTGTGACTTTTTGGTATTTCTAAAAATATAAACCAATAATAAACCAAAAAAGTTGCAAACTTAAATATAAAATATCTTAAGAAAACGAGCTAACTTTAAAAAACTGATTACACTACTGAATTCTACACCCAAAAATAAGGTTTAGGTACGTGTCCCGGCGTTTTCATGTTTCTTTTCAAAAGTTTGAAATTTACCTACTTACAGTGTTATCTAATCTAACAATTCTAACATCAAAATAATATTATATTTTTTAATTTTTCTTAATATTTTTAGTAATTTTTTTTACCCATTTCCTTATCTTTTTAGCAATGTAGATGAAGAAATTTTTGAGACAAATCAAAATCAGGCCAGTTCATCCACTACTTTGTCGACTACCACGCAACCGAAAATTACCGATATTTTTTCCACTGAAAAAAACAATCAACTTAAACAAGAGAAAATTACACAAATCATTACAAGAATGATATGTCAGGATGAACTGCCAATTTCCTTTGTCGAAAATGGTGGATTCAAACAACTTCTATCATACCTTGCCCCTTGGTATAAAATCCCTGTAAAAAAAACAATAAAATTACGAATCGATGCCCTGTATGACATAGAGAAAAAAAAAATTATGAAAGATATGAGTACAATCGATGATATAGCACTAACTACCGATTGTTGGAGCTCCCGAGCAACAGAATCATACATAACATTTACAGCTCATTATATAACACCGGAATGGAAACACTTTGCTTCTAATATCACAACAGAGCATATGGAAGAACGACATACAATAGCAAATTTACAGGACAAAATTGATAAAATTCTAATCGAATGGAAAATTAAACCAAAAAGTAGAGCAATTGTTCACGACAATGCTGCAAATAAAGTTGGGGCAGCCAAAAATTTTCCATATTCGATTAGTTGTTTTGCTCATTCTCTGCAACTGGCTTTGAATAAAATATTACTTGAACCATACAGCAAAGACATTATTAATTAATTAATTAAAGTGCAGCAATATTGTTGGCCATTTTAAACACTCCAATATTGCCATGAGTGCATTAAGTAATAAGCAAAACCAACTAGGTCTGGAAAAACACAAGCTGGTACAATCTGTAAAAACTCGCTGAAATTCAACGTTTCTAATGTTAAAGAGGTTAGTAGAACAACGTGAAGCCATTATTGGAGTTTTATCTGACAGGACAGTTACTACAAAAAATCATGCAGGACAACTGATGTTAAGTGAAGATGAATGGACCCTTATAGAAAATATTGCCAATATTTTGCAACCTTTTGAACTTGTGACTACCTTATTGTCATCCGACTCCCAACCAACAATTTCGATGGTGATGCCCATTTTGCAAAGTTTGGTAGAAAACTTTTTATCTAAAACTAAAGATGAAGATTCACACGATGTGATAAAAAACAATTGCTGCAAGAGCTGAGATCTAGATTTAAGGATGTATTATTTAGCGACAGTTTAGTTTCATGCTCAAGAGAAATTGGTGTGTTTGATATCAGCACATTTTTGGACCCACGGTTCAAAAACACAGAACGGTTTTTAGGTTCTATTATAAAAACAAAAATATATTTAAATATTCTGTTACAAAACGAAGAAGAAGAAGAAGTTAAAGAAGTAATTATAAATCCTGCAAAAAAGTCAGCTTTGGATATTTTGTTTCCTAGCGATGAAGTAAACACTTCTAATGAAGTCGACAGCTATTTTTCAGAATGTACTATTCCAAAAAAAATGTGTCCATTACAGTGGTGGAAAAGTAATAAGCAGAAGTACCCAAAGCTGTCCAAAATTGCTAAACGTTACCTTTGTATTCCTGCCACTTCAACAGCTTCAGAAAGGGCTTTCTCCAAAGCGGGCAACATTGTTACAGCAAAACGATCCTGCTTGAAACCAGACAATGTAAAAAAAATTTGTTTTTTGAGTAGCAATTTACAAAAAAAATAAAATAAAAAATAATAACCCATTTGTTAAATTTATTTTTTTATTAAATATTTAATTAAATAATCCGAGCTAAACTTAAACATAAGATACAAATTTTTCTAAAGATTAAATAGTTTTGATTAATTGAAATATTTTAATATTCGAGTATTTAAAAATTCGATTATTTGAATATTTAAAAATGTACTCTATATTCGAATTATTCGAATGTACGAGGACATGAATCACAGATTATAAAGACATGAATATTCGAATTATTCGAATTTACGAGAACACGAATATTCGAATAATTCGAATACTCGAATATTCGAATAATTCGAATACTCGAATAATTCGAATACTCGAATAATTCGAATATTCGAATAATTCGAGTATTTCAAATAATTTTTAAACGAGTATTCGAATTCCAAAAACTAACAAATTCCCAGCCTTAGTAGATACGCATATATAAAGACATTTCAAAAACCTTTGAAAAATTTGATAAAATAGCTATAGGTCGGTAATTATTAATTAAACTATTATCACCCTTCTTAAATATTGTACACAATCGGGCTACCTTCCACATATCTGGAAAGGTTGATGTATTTAAGGATAGATTAAACAAATATAACAGTGGCTTGCAAAATATTTGTAAGCAGTCTTTGATTAAATAAGAAGGAATCTGATCATCACCCGATGTTTCTTTGTTTTTAAGTTTTTTTATTGCCTGAGTTATATCATTTTCGTTTAGTTCATTTATTAAAATATTAGAAGAAGTATAAGCAGTCCAGTTAGTCTTGTTTTGTTATTTTTATTCCTTTAAAAGATATATTAATTTTTTAATGCCCGTTTAGTAGCGATATTATTAGTTTTGTTTATAATTTAAAATTTAGATGGCTTTCATGTTTGGTGGAGAAGTGTCAGAACTGTCAAAAATATTTCATAAATATTATTTTTGCCTATATATATATATATATGATTATATGTTATATACATTATAATGAAGTATTTAATTGGCTAATTGGTGTTTATAAAGAAGAAGAATGTAATCAAGATCCTTATGGTTTATATCGTACAATAATAAGTGAAATTAATAACGAGTTCATTTAAACGTATAAAAAATGCGTTAAGCAGTTTTTTGTCGGTTTCTTTCACAATTTAAACCAAGTTAGTCTTGTTCTATTATTTTGATAGCTTTAGTAAGGCACTGAATAGTTAAAAGGTATATGTATGTATTTTAAGGTAGTTGTCGTGGTACAATATTGTCAAAAAAAATTTTGATTATACGCACCGTAAAAGTATACGAGCTTGTAGCTAAGTGATTCATAATTTATTCGCAAGACTGTACCCTGGAGACGTTACCTTTACGTAATACTTTCAAATATTTTCATAAGTTTTAATCCGGCAACGTCGCTTATGCTCAACCAATAGATATATTGGAGACTGAATCAGTGTTTGAATTTACTGCGGAAATAATATCTATACTCGCGTACAGCGTTGCCAAGTTGTTTTTATCTGACACTAGTGATGTATACTTTTTACAAATAACGGTTATTTATAAACAATTTATAAACAATTAGACTCAGCAAAAATACATTAAAAGTTAGTTTTTTGAAAGCTTCTGACAGTTAGTTTTTTTTTATAACTAAGAAACTGGTACAGAACTACAGAAAGCGTATACAATCCATGTTAATTATCCAATTTTTAATTAAATTTATCTCGGGTTATAGACGGTCAATCGACTTCAAATTTTAAGGATAATTGTATTGTCATGTCCTTAATTAAATTTATCTCGGGTTATAGACGGTCAATCGACTTCAAATTTTAAGGATAATTGTATTGTCATGTCCTTAATATGTATACAAAAATTTAAAATTTTCTAATGGTATGCTTACAGCACGACAACTACCTTAAATGTTAGTGTTGGAAAAAAATTTACACAATCTGTAAATACTTCTTTAAATTTTAGTTTTTAGGTAACTGGTTAAAATATAACATGTTATAATAAAGGGGTTTATTTAGAATATTTTTTGGTTTTTGCCTATTTTTATCAATTTAAAACTTCTCAGAACTTGAATATTTTCTATGAGAAAGAGGTACAAAATTATGATATGTTCTTGCATTTTTAATTGCAATGAAATTCATGAATCTCGAACACTCCGTCATTTATTACACTTGCAAACTTTTTGAAATCACAATTTAAATACGCACAAATAATATTATTAAATATTTATTTATAAAATATTTTTTACAGTTCTGACATTTCTCTACCAAACATAAATTGACTATGTCAAAGCCATCTAAATTTTAAATTATAAATAAAACTAACAATATCGCTTCTTAACTGCATTAAAAAAATTATTATATCTTTTACATGGATAAAAATAACAAAACAAGACTAACTAGACTGAAAATATGAAGGGACTACATTTCCTGAAAGTTTCAGATTTTTATTTTTTCCTCAACATAATGATTTCTAAGGGCAAAACTGGCTAATTTTGAAAATTATCAAGTTTCAATAATTTTTTTAATAAAGAAAATGATAGTCTAGAAACTTAAAATAATAGTTACGTTTTCTATTGTATAAGTACTTGATACCTGAAAAAAGCAACTTTCTAGATTTAGCAGAATAGGCACAGGAGCCAGACAAAAATCACAAAAATTGGCAAATTATTACAAATCTTTAGTGGTTTACCATTCTTTTATGAGATGAACTAATTAGATAATATTAATTAATATTAAAAACATACTTACTAGGCAGTAAAATAAAATTACAATCATTTCAATAATTGCCACAGAAAAGAAGTTTTAGCCTCTTATAAGAGAGTAAGAAAATGACACAATTTCAGGTTTCTAAAGGGTGCCGATTAAAAATAAAGCAAGTAAAATTTAAATCGGCAACGGTTTTTCATATATGATACCTAAAAGATCATCCTCAAATTTTTTCATTAAAATAAAAAATCATGCAGCGCACTTTTAAATTCATTTTTGGTGTTTTCATTTGGATTGGCTCATAAATAAAAAAATAATTTTAAATGATAGCAAAAACAAATTTAACAAAATGACATTTGTTCAAATGGTCTTGCCCATTACGAAAAGTTGTAGTTTTCAATGTGGTCGTTGGAAAAGTTTTTTTTTTAATAATTAATATATGCTCTGGTCCACTAAAAGTTTAAGTAGTAGACCAGATGAGTGGTAGTTTATATAAAAATTTAACAACAATTTAAAAACATTAAAATTATTTATTTTTAAATTGGTAAAATACCTACCCTGTGGGTCGTTAACAAAAGTTACATTGACCATGTTTTTTATTAATTTATTTTAAAAGTTATTATATTAATTTAAAAAATGTGGTAAAAATATATCGTTTATTAAATATTTAAAGCCTTTATTTAATAAAACACCTGTCCACCATTTTCTTTTAAAACCAAGCTCATGAATAAATTTACAATTTAAAATAGGGAGACATCTATATTCCTATTGGCTGAGACTATAAAATCTCCAGCCAAGAAAATACTTGATAAGGTGATTTTGGGGGATGAAATAGCGTTTTACATTTAGAGGGTAGGTATTTTACATATCACGCAAGTACAAAAAGGGTCAATTCGATTGGCCGCACAGGGTTTTAAAAAAGGGGTTGTTTTTTATTGTAAGGCTTTACCCTTTCTATAAAAAGTAAGGGGTGAAATGCAGTTTGTATTTTGAAGTTAGTTGTGATTTAGATTTAGAAAAGTGAATGTGACCTAAAACTACTTTTTACATAAGGTAAGTTAAGTTTAAATTTTATTAATTCTTAATCATAAAAAAATAATTTTGTTTTTAATATAAATTTAGGTAATACGGGATAATTATTTTTTATAAATTAGATCAGTCACTTTAGTTACAAGGAGAGATTTTTTTCAACTCTTATCCTTAGCCTTTTTTTTAATTTTTTTAACTGTATAATGCAAAACCGATATTATTAAATGAATTAAAAAAATTATTTTTATAGGACAAACAAACAAAATTAAAGAAATTAAAAAGTAGTTTGAAGCCACTACTTGGGATACCATAATAATTATTAAAAAACCCTTGTTATATCTTATGATCAATAAAGTTTGCCCAGTAACAAACAACCTTTTTAAAAAAAGGCCAACTTTATTTCAGCGATATAACATACATATTATAGGTGCATAGTGGCTTAATGTTATCTTTCATAATTATTATGAAAGATAACATTAAGCCACTATGCACCTATAATATGTATGTTATATCGCTGAAATAAAGTTGGCCTTTTTTTAAAAAGGTTGTTTGTTAATGGGCAAACTTTATTGATCATAAGATATAACAAGGGTTTTTTAACTTTTTATTAACAAATACTACCATGAGTATTAAAAAAATTATTAAATATAACTTTTATACAGGATTATAATATTCCTAATTAAATTGTTCATATTGTTACTAAATTATTACTTAATTATGTTAAATTAAAATCAATTCCACTCCTATTTATAAGCTATAACAAAAGTAGTTAAGACTAGGGAAAGAATGTCAGCACACGCCAGGATTACTAATAATCCAGACATTTGGCATCTGCTGTAAATAATAACCTATTATAATTTAAAATAAACAAAGTAAGTAATTAAAATATAAAGAAAGACAAAAAATAAAATATCTAATATCTAATAACACTGATAACACTAGTAAGCATTAAACAAAGGGTCTATTGTACAGAGGGAACCTAACAATCCTCCCTTTTTAAAGACACAAAATTGGGTTGAACTAGGTTGACAGAAATTTAGGGGATTTCAAAGAAGTTTTCAGCTCGATGTCTTCTACAATGCGTGGAGTTCTTTGAATGGGGTTCCTTCTATAAAGTAGTTACACTTCTTCTGAATCTCGATATAAAGTTACCATCAGGATTATAAAAAATTATAATTGAAATAACGAAGATTGTAGAAACATAGGTAAACCATTAAATGTTTTTTCTACAAAACTTTGTTTCATTAATTTATCAATTTCTTCTTGTAATTTTTGTAAATTTTCGTTTGTAAGTTCAATTTTTAAATTTGGAATATATATATTTATTTTATTTTCTTCTGACCAATTTAAACCTGGAACATCTGTACTTTCGTTCAAAGTTGTATTTTTCGCACTGTTTATCAATTGTTTTTGGAGATATGTTTTTTTAAATTTTCATGATTATAACGGTTTTGCCAATATATTATTTTTCTTGTCTTGAAACCAAGCTATTTGAAATAAATATTTTTGATGCTATAGCATGTCGGCGAAAACTAAAAATCGATTTTCTATACACTGTATTTTTTTTTGTTTTTAATCTCTAAGCGAACAATTTTTTTATCTATATGAGATCGTGGCTATCGAAAAATTAATAATCTTTTCGGAATTTTAAATTTTAATAATTTCGATTTTTTCCACTTTCGGACATTTTGTAATATCAAAAATGATTTTTTTATTTAATCTTTTTATATTAAGCCGTTTTAACTATTAAAATTGTTTTAAAAAAATTAAAGAGTACTGCCTATGAATATATAGTAAATTGATTGATTAATTGATTTTCAATCTTAAAATAATTATTAATTTCGTAATGATCAATTTAAGTATATTATAAGTATGATGATTGTGGGGATAATAAAACTTTCGAGACATACTTTTTACAATTAAGACATATAGTGCAACACCGGCCCAACTGAAAAAAATTGCATCTATGTTTTTATCTTAAAATATTTCTTGGATGCGCTTATCAAGTGAACCAACCTAATAAAGTGTGTTTTAATATATAGAGTAGTTACTCCTTTGTATATTAACATACACTTTATTGGGCTTGTTCACTTTATAAGCCCATCCAAGGAATATTTTAAAATAAAAACACAAGATGCCATTTTTTTCAGCTAGGCAATGTCCACAAAATATTAATATTTATGACGTCCAATCAGAGCTGGGAATTATCTAAAATAAAAGTTCCAATTATTATCTTAAATACTTAAAGTACCTATCTTAAAATACTTTATCTTAAAATCTTTTGAATGTTTGTATTTATACTTCATATTTTAGATACATACTGAAAGTATTTGTATCTTGTATTTTTAAAAAGTATGTATCGAAAAAGTATTTTAAAATTCTTTATCTTAAAAACTTTTGAATTTTTGTATTTATAGTTAATATTTTAGATACATACTGAAAGTATTTGTATCTTGTATTTTTAAAAATTATGTCTCGAAAGTTTTATTATTCCCACAATCATCATACTTTTACTTATACCTAATATACTTAAATAGATCATTACGAAATTAATAATTATTTTAAGATTAAAAATCAATGAATCAACATTTTACTATATATTCATAGGCAGAACTCTTTAATTTTTTTAAACAATTTTAATAGTTAAAAGGGGTAAATATAAAAAGATTAAATAAAAAAAATAATTTTTGATATTACAAAATGCCCGAAAGTGAAAAAAATCGAAATTATTAAATTTTAAAATTCCGAAAAAATTATTAACTTTTTGATAGCCACCATCTAATATATGTAGATAAAAAAACTTTTGTTTGCTTAGAGATTAAAAACAAAAAAAGTAAAAAAAATACAAACAGTGTAGAAAATGGATTTTTAGTTTTCGAAAAAAAAACCAAAGTTATGATCGATGATATATTGGCAAAATCGTTATAATCATGAAAATTTAATATATCTCCAAAAACCGTGCTAAAATTAAAATTGAATTGAATATGTGGAATTCACGTGGAATTCCCCACATACATACACACATCTACACATCAATAGTAATAATAATAATAATAATAATAATAAAAATGCTGAAGATAAATTAATGTAATAATTTTGTTTATAGCAGAGACTCTTGTAATTTCTTTTAAAAACAGAACTGGGCCAAGTAAAAGTAAAATGTACTTAAGTACCGAGTACAAAGTACTTTGTATAATTCCTGAAAGAGTACAAAGTACCAAGTACTATACTAATTGCAAAGTACTTTAAGTATAGTACTCAGTACTTTATAATTGTATTTCAAGAGTACATGTCAACAAAACAAGACTCATTAGTACCAAGTACCTACATAATTATATATTATGCATTATGTATGTATACTTTACCGATTTACTGCCAACTAGTATTAGGCTAATACTGCGTTTGCGAAATAATATATATTACATATTTAAGTTGACATCCGCAACTTAATTCTTGAAGTTTCAACTTCTCCCATTTATTTCTCAGGGGCAACAGACTTGAAATAATGAATCCATAATGGACACAATCATGACCTTGAAGAGTATCTAGAGTAGACGCTAGAGGTTTGAGAACCATAAAATATTTCTCCAAATGCTTTAGCTTCGTTTCTCTGAAATAATTTATATTAAGACGTTGGAATAGGAAAGGCAGTTTCAGGTTTTCGTTTAAAATTTGAGAAACTGAGTCATAGTACGAGTTCCATCTGGTCACTCCCGGGTAACTTAGTATGTGACCCAAGGCGTATTTGATTATTTCAGCAGTCTTGGGTCTCCTGGCTTTTGTCCATAAGAAATTACATTTCGAAAAAACTTCGGTATGTCTCTTTCTGACTAAAACATTTGATTGAATTGCATTTTTGCAATCAGTTGTTGCAATCAAATTGAGTGTGTGACTGGAACAAATGACATGGGTTGAAAGAATTATTCTGCAGTCGTCAGGATTATCAGAAATATCAATTTGTTTAAAGGTCTATCTTCTTCATCATGTAAATAATCTTCATTAACGTCCTCTTCTCTATCATGAACCCCGCTGAAAGTTTTTCCTTGCAAATCTTCATGTACTTCTCTTTCTCCATATCCTACAGCGAATTCACGAAAGGCTTTTACAAAATTGGACCCATTGTCCGTTACGGTGGCAATTATTTGCATATGCCTTATTCCAAATTTTAAATTGATATTTTCAGGCATTTCTCCGATGTTCTTGTAGTGGTCTACCCCATGGGGTAGGCTACCGCCAAAACTGCTGGCGCAGATAGGTCTCAACTTGTATAGAGTACTTGTAAAAATGTACTTATATTTTAGTCCCAAGTACTAAGTACTTTTAGCAGAATGTTACGAGTACAAGTACTAAGTACATATTCAAAAAAAGTACTTAAGTATCAAGTAAAAAGTACCCAAAATGTACTCTAAGTACAATATTCAAGTACTTGTACTTAAGTACCGCCCAGCTAAATTAAAAACCAACTATTTTTAAAGTTTTTAACTTAGATAGATAATTCATTGTTTAAAGAATAAATATTGTATGTAAAGGATTTTCGAAACAAGGCTGTGCGCTGAAATGGTGGTGAGATTTTACATTTTAAATCTTATGTTATCTTATCTTAAGTATGGCGCGCCGTTTTAACATTTATTAGATAAATTGTGGAAGTTCAAAATTTGCTATTTTAAATATTTTTAAACAAAAAATTATCGGTTTGCATTTGTAATATTAAAAAATGTTAAACTTTAATTTATTCATGGGTAAAATATAACAAGTATCATTTTATTTCATCTGCTTGTATAATAGTTTCTATGCAATTTTTTTTAAATATTTCAAACTGTCGTTTTTTATGGAAAATAATTTGTACACTTAAATTTTTGTGTTTAAATTTTTCCTAACAATCATTTATAACGTTTAGAATTTCTTAAGATTAAATTTTTAGAAGACAAATTTTTATAACTTAAAAACAGCAAACTAACATTTTATTTAAAAATTTTCAAAAATAAATTTCTTTACATATAATTTCTAAACAAATATTTTTACCAAGTAAAAAAAATGGTACTTTAAAAATTGTTTGTTGCTAAAATGCAACTATAAAAATTTATACTTAAAAATATTCAAATAAAAAAATATTGTATAAAAATGTTAATTATTAAAACTTACCGCTCTAATTTTTTAAAGAAACATTTAAATGCAAAGTGAAAAATTTTGCAGGCAAAAATTATACGTTTAAATTTTTAAACAAACATAAAATGTAAAGTAATAAATTTTTAAGACAAAATTTATCACTTTACATTAAATGTTTGTTTAAAAATTTAAGCCAATAATTTTTGCAGACAAAAATTATCAGTTTAAATATTTTAAACAAACATTTAATGTAAAGTGATAATTTTTTAAGACAAAAAATATTGGTTCAAATTTGTAAACAATCATAAAATGTAAAGTAATAAATTTTTAAAACGAAATTTATCACAAAAATTATCGGTTTACATTTTTTAAACAAACATTCAATGTAACGTGATAAATTTTTAACACAAATTTTATCGGTTTGCATTTAATGTTTGTTCAAAAATTATCACTTTACATTCGTTGTGAAAACGTACCCTTAGCCAATTTTAATATTAGTACGGTGCGACATCTACCTGCATTTTAGACAACTATTTTTTTATTAAGTAAACCCGTTCACCCAGAGACGTAGAGAATGGACCAGTGTTGCCAACTTCAATGTAAAGTGATAAATATTTAACACAAATTTTATCGGTTTGCATTTAATATTTGTTAAAAAATTATCACTTTACATTCGTTGTGGAAACGTACCCTTAGCCAATATTAATACGGTGCGACATCTACCTGCATTTCAGACAACTATTTTTTTATTAAGTAAACCCGTTAACCCAGAGGCTCTGGCCCAGAGGCTCTGGCCCAGAGGCTCTGGCCCAGAGCCTCTGGGCCAAAGGCGTAGAGAATGGACAGTCCATAATGGAGCGTTTCCTACAGCTGGCAAGTGCAATAGGTACCAGATGGTTGTATCTGTGCGCAGTAGTTACCATATGAATGTATTGATGCGCACTAGGAAAGGGGTGTAGATTCGGCATGTTTTTGCATTTTTTTGTATGTAAGGCAGATTTTTGACCAAAAGTTAGCAACCTCCAGACTAATTGATAACATTGCCTTTTGGCTTGAAAATGGCCTAGACAGAAACTTGATATTTTTAAAAATCGGGGAAAAATAAGAAATATTTTACAATAGCGTAAAATGCTGAAAGTACCCCACTAGTGGGGTACTTTCAGCCGGTGTATGGGGTACATTCGTCAAAATGAAAAAAATGCGAAGAGATATGAAAATCTTTATTTAAAGGTAACGCACATGTCATTTAAACATACTTAAATTAATCATTTAAGATTGAGGCCTTCAAAATTATAAGGAAAACTGTGAATAGAGGACGTTCGAGCAGTTGCCGATTTGCTAGGTTTCTTCATTATTGCCACAACATCACCCCATTCAACAATACTAATATCTTTTACTGTGGGTTTATAAACAAATGTGTTTGAAATACCTTTTCTTCTAAGAAAACTTATTTCAAATTCCAAACTTTCAGCTTTTAAGACGTGCCCTATGAAATAACAATGCCGAAAGTGCCCCTGCTAGAGAAGCCGAAAGTACCCCTATCCAACTTTTTCCCGCCAAAGGCATCTACAGCAAAACGGCATAAGTTTAAAGGATATATATGTTTACTAAGTTATACAACTGATTACAACATACAATTGACGCGTTGAAAGCATACAAAAGTCGAATAAAAATAAATATAATCAAGAAAGTTAACTAAGCATAATATCTTACCTTTTTGTCAAATTTTTTTTAAAATTATCCAGCACCAAAACTATTCACGCTGTTGTCTTAAAACTACACAATTGGCATCACGACACTATTACCAACTTGCAATATCAAAATTAACTCGCCAAGTTTAAAAATATCCCAAAAATAAATAGGTGCCGATTCTACCCCTATGCCGAATCTACACCCCTTTCCCTACCAGATGACTATACCCATGCGCAGTAGTTCCCGGATGTCTTACCCATGCGCAGCAAGTCCCAGTGGTTTCAATTTGGTTGAATATATGCTCAGTGGTTGTATCTATGTTCAATAGGTACCAGATGGTTGTATCTGTGCGCAGTAGTTACCATATGAATGTATTGATGCGCACAAGGTACCAGATGATCATACCCATGCGCAGTAGTTCCCGGATGATCTTGGCCATGCGCAGGAAGTCCCAGTGGTTTCAATTTTGCTGAATATATGCCCAGTAATTGTATCTATGTGCAATAGGTACCAGATGGTTGTATCTGTGCGCAGCAGTTACCATATGAATGTATTGATGCGCACAAGGTACCAGATGACCATACCCATGCCCAGTAGTTCTCGGATGATCTTACCCATGCGGAGTAAGTCCCAGTGGTTTCAATTGGGCTGAATATATGCTCAGTAGTTGTATCTTTGTGCAATAGGTACCAGATGGTTGTATGTGCGCAGTAGTTATCATAAGAATGTATTGATGCGCACCAGGTACCAGATGACCATACCCATGCGCAGTAGTTCCCGGATGATCTTACCCATGCGCAGAAAGTACCAGTGGTTTTAATTTGGTTGAATTTATGCTCAGTAGTTGTATCTATGTGCAATAGGTACCAGATGGTTGTATTTGTGCGCAGTAGTTACATGCCAATAAATATATCCTACCCTTAACTCAATCTGGTTTTCGCAAATTACATAGTACTAACACAGCGCTACTAAAAATTACAAATGACTTTGTCAGGGCCATAGACAATTCTGAGATTACTCTATTGGTGCTACTTGACTACAGCAAGGCTTTTGATGTAGTTAATCATAATTTGCTTTTGGCTAAACTGCATTATTACAATTTTGATGCGATGGTGATAAACTGGTTTTGTGATTATCTCAAGAACAGAGTCCAGTATGTTGAAATAAATGGTAATGTGTCAACTCGTCGATCATTGTCTAAATGAGTTCCGCAGGGAAGCATACTGGGTCCCTTACTTTTCTCAATTTTTACTGCTGACTTGTGTGAAGTGGTAAAATATAGTGAAGCACATCAGTATGCAGATGATACACAAATCTATAAATCAACTACTCCAGCTGCTATTAACTCTGCAGTCCTACAATTAAATGAAGATCTTCAGCAAATAATAATAATAATATAATAATAATATATTTATTAGTCCAACAGACAATTTTACAATTGTATAAGACATGTCAAAAGATAAAAATACAAAATATTATAACATCAATTATAAAGACATTTACAAAAAGATTTAAAGACATTTACAAAAAGATATAAAGACATTTACAAAAATGTAATACTATATATTATTTATTTAAAAATTTTAGAAATTCATCTATACTATAAAAATTATTTTCCTTAAGCATTGCTAAGATATTTTTTTTAAATTGAGTATAACTGTTTATTTCTTTGACTTCTTCTGGTAATGCATTGAAGAACTTCTGACCCTGGTAGCCTGGTGAATTCTTAAATATGTCAACTCTGGGCCGCGGCAGATAAAAGTTATATTTTTGCCTGGTGTTATGGCTATGAACTTTATTGTTGACGTTGTATGTATTTCTTAAACCATAAACAAATTTAAGAATTTCAAGAATGTATATGGAGGAAAGAGGTAAAATGCCCAATGTTTTAAAAACGTTCCTGCACGAGTGGTATGATGGTACACCCATAATACACCTTAAAATTCTCTTTTGTATAATAAAAACGTCTTTAGCTATAGGTGAAGAGCCCCAAAAACATAAACCGTAAACCAGTCTCGAGTACACCTCCGCATAGTAATAGCACTTAATCTGTTCCAATGTTAAAATGGGTTTTAAAAATCTTATTTGATAACATTTTGAGCTTAACGTGGAGATCAAGTGCGAACAATGCTCATTCCACTTTAAAGTATCCTGGAAATATACGCCGAGAAATTTTACCGCTCTGGAATTTGAGACAGTTGCGTTATTTATAGTAACAGTGACTGGCTCTATGCTCTTTTAAATTGTGTGAAATTTTATACAACTAGTTTTGGAAGTGTTAAAGTATAATTTGTTTTGGCAGAACCAGTCACATAATTTTGATACGGCTCTGCTACACCTTTCCAAGAGTTTAT